GACCTAAGTACAAACAAAAATAGAATAGAAATTGGAAGACTTAAGAAGGTCAAGCAGAAGTATTCATAAAAGGTTGTCCAGAAAGAAGCTTTCTTAAAAATAATACAAGAACTATTAAATGCTCATTCACATTATATCTACCAGAATTTTGTGGAAAGTCTTTTCATAATTACAACTACTAATTCAAATTCAACACAGTTCCTTCAATAAGTACCCTCTTACCGATATTTATTTTACTAGGCTAGTCTCAAGAATGAAATTCCAGTTAGCAATCTTTTAAGAATAGTATATATACAGTTTCAGCATTAGAGAACCCTTTTGTTTTATCAACTAAACAGGATTAGATTCCTTCAAAAGTGGAATTTTTCAGATTTGTATGTATAGGTTGAAACTTGTTACACCATCAAATAATATCATCATCACAATTATCTTTTCCAGTTCTTGTTTCTGAACAGATACCAATGAGGGACACAGCCACAGAAACAACCTCACATGCAATACTCTGATTTTTCCTTCAGAATGCTGATCTGCACTGGATTTTTCAAAGATCAAACACACATAGCCTTACACAAAAATGCATAGCAGTTCACCCAAAATAAGGGAGTTTGAAGAAAGGTCTGAGCATTATGTAGTCAGAGGAAGCAATGACAGAAACCACTTAACATCCCTCATAATGACAATAAGGTTAGAGATAGAAAGTATGTTTTTTGTTGTTTAGTTTTTTTTTTAATGTCAAGGAAATTTCTATGTAGAAAGTTGAGTTTGTACTTGAAGCAATTATACTTCTATATGAGAACCCTCAAGAAGCTGACAAAATATACATTTATTTCCTTGTTTTTAAACATATTGCCCATTTTCATTAGTTATTATAGTTCAAACCTTTAAAAGCATGCTATCACTCAGAATGTACAGAACAAATAGCACTGGCTGTCATTTTTTTTTCCAGATTAAATTACCACAGCTATTTTTATTTGACACATAAAAACACATTCTACATTAGAAATGAAGGGACACCTGGAACTTACCCAGCAAGTAGGTCCCTGCTCTCAGTCACACCTTGGAGGTGTTCTCTCTGTTACAGACAAAACTCAAACTCTAAATTAATCTCTAATTTTTAATCTCCAGGTTAAAATTTGCAATTGGGAATATTTACAACTCTGAAATGTCATCATTCGAAAATTTAACAACATAATTTATACTGCAATCATTGTTAACTCCTTTGTTAAAAACCTATTAAGCAATTAAGGAACAAGACATTTTCCAAACTTTTATTTATTTAAGAAAACATGTTAAAGGTCTGAAAATACTGTTGTCTTCAATTCAAAACTTACTCAAATTTTGTCACATCAGTAAGATTCCCATTCTACATACACATACTGATTTGCAATATTCTACAATTGCACCAACTTTTTTTCTATATTAAGAAAGGAACTTTGGAATAAAAAGAGGGCATGATTTTACAATCAGGACATGAGGTTTTCCATAAAGACAACCAAAATTAATTCTAGAGCTAGAAATCACTCTTTGGCAGCATCTTTGTATAACAATGCCTGCACTTCTGCACAGTAGAAACCAAATTGCATACAGGAAAGTTGGTAAAAATGTCCATTAATCCTCAATAGAAGAGCACTATCTCCACAAGTACTGGGGATTCCGTTGCAGTATGCATTCCCGAGGAACTGCATGACCTGTACAGCCCACAATGTGATGTACAGTGCTACAGCTGCAATGCTGTTGGCACTCATATCTGATGAAGTTCTACATAACTGCTCGGATCTACCTCAGCAGAGCTCTCACAAAAACACAATGCCTATTTCAACACAAAAGTTACTAAAAAACGTGCATCCATTTATCTTTGAAAGATAATCTCCTACCACACGGCTGTTTCCTCTTCGAAGATAAATAAATGCATTTCGAAAACAAACAAAAAAACCACACACTTTTTTTTTTCTTTTAATCTGTTTAAGAGGTGTAAAGATTGTGTTCTGGAACATGTAATAAGAAAAATTACTTAACTAATTGAATAATTATTCCTGGTTTGATTTTTAGTTTTATAAGTCCAAGTAATATAGCAGTAACTAAATTAAGCACTCAAGCAAGTGATCAAGTTAAGAATGATATGTATTTCCCTCAGCTTTGAATCAAAATTGTGAGTTCAAAAGTTAAAACATGTAACATTGAGCTCTTTTAATTCTGTTATCAATAAGGATGAGTTGAAGCTCAGAGGAAAAAAAATACTTCTTGCCTCTAGGCTGAGGTAAGATTTAAATTTTTGTAAAACACTAAACTGCGATTAAACAAATAATTTTTTGCTACCAACTTATTCTCTCCATTATTTTTATCTGACTCTAATTTTACAGTTTTAAAGACTAAACCCATTCTAAATATTATGTCCAAAACCAGGTAAATGCACATGTGTGTGCACACAGTGGCTAATTTCACAGCTATGGTTGTGATGCATGGTTTCATCTACAGCAGAGGCAGGGATTATGGAGACACACACAGTCTTCACTTAGTACCTTAACTGGGCATAAACACAACCAAGAACTTTGGAGCAGAATGTTCATTCGCAATAAAAGTCAGCAAATAACAAAAATATATATGTTTATCAAGAACTAGTTGGATGAGAGAAGAAAAACTTTTAGATCTGCAAGCAGTATCAGAATCATAACCACAGGCTCACTGATTCTCTCTTGAGGTGTCCAGGACCATCAACACTAACTCATCTGTTCGCTCCAAGTTTTGGCTGCTGGCCCCCTACTTACGCTGGACTTTGCAAGCTAGGACCTCAGCAGTCCCTTTTAAGAATTGTGATAGAAACAACAGCCATCCAGAATGACACACGGCATAAAAAAAGCCATCAGTTTGGATGGCCCTGGTCAAGCCGCCATGAATGAATATTTTACTTCAGCTCTTGTTCTTCAAGAGACTTTCATAACCTCTTAGTTATTTTCTACTACAACTTGGCAAAGAGGAGACAGTGGACAAACATAAAGCAGTCAAGAAGGGTGCAAAAGAAGGTTTACATATCCACCTGCCTATCTCAGTTACATCAACACCTTCTCAACTGGTTTCTGAAGGAACAGAAAAAGCAGCAGCTGGTGGGAGATAGGCCTTCCCTGTTCATGCCTTGGCTAAATCAGCCAATTCCTCTGAGGACCATCAAGTAAAATTCATGCATATACATAGGATATCTATTCACTACTGAGTTATAGGAAACACAGGTAAATAAGCAATATGAAAGGAATAAAAGTATTAACCTGCTTACACAATAAAAGCCTCATATACCAAAATTAAGTCTCAAAAACTCACGAGTACAAAACCTCATTCAGATACTATATCCTGCAAGCCTTTACAATGCAAAACAATTAAAAACTTTATAATACAATAGTAAGCCAAAGATGATTCTAACAAACCCATATCATGAATTAATTAGAAGTTGTTACTGATATATAAAATATCCTTCAATATTTTCACACCAAAACTATTAAATAGATTATATTTACATTGCTTAACTTTCTTTGTATTGATCTAAAGTCCTTTTTGAATTCTCTAATGTGATTATTGAATGTACTTCCCAAAGACTGAGAAAAACTTCAGTACAGTGCATAAATGCAATGTGACTTCTTCCATGTGAGCATACATAAACTTCATGATTGCCTTTGAGATTAGGTAAAATTTTCCAAAAATACAAAAAACCCACAGCATCTAAAAGACCAGTTATCATGCTCAAACATATAGCAAAGTGAAAGTAGTCAATGCAGACATCTCAGATAACAAACATTCAGAAAGAATAACAAGAATCAAACTACTAATTCTGTTTTCTAATCAGACAACATGCTCATTTTCTGTTCCATCTATTAATTACTAATCAGTTACATTGACTGGTTTAAACAATCACCAGAGCATGACTTGGACAGAGGGATGCCAATACAGGCAGAATCAAATGTTACAAGAAACCATTAAATGACCTGAAATTGGAGTCCTTTCACAATATTAGGTGTTGCAAAATAAATAAATTCATATTTGTAATTAGATCATTTATAGAAAATTTTACATTACAGACAGTAATGTAGACCACAATGCAAATTTTAAATTAAAGATCACAATGTAAAGATTAGTGTCTAACAAAAGAAGAATATGTGAGAGGGTTGGCTTTAAGAGCTGATAGTGAAAATTGTCTTACAAATTACCACTACAGTAAAGACATAGGCATAAAAAATGGAAAAATTAAAAGAGATATATGACAAAAAGAAGCCAGATAATATAGCTTCTCTGTTATAATCTGCATATTATGCATTTCACTTAGAAAACTAAAACCTTAAGCTTAAACTATCCAAGCATGTAGTACAAGTATGTATTATATCAATGTGTCGGTTCTGCACACTTTGACATTCCATTTCTATATTATATTAAGGCTGAAATGGAGTTTCTGTCCTCTGTTAGTCTTGAATATTTTCAACAGTGAAACACTGCCACCTTTTGACTTGATACACAGACCTCCCCATTGTAAATGCAAATTTCTTTTTTTTTTTGCTCCATCTCTCCATTAGGGAGGTGGTTGAATTCTTGTGATCTTATCTAAAATTTTATTCAGAAGACATATTTCTTCAGGGAAAAAAATAAACATGAGTTGATAAAGAAAGACTGTATTTCTCAAAAATATGAGTGCATAGCCAAACAACTTTAAAGGAATACTCCATTAAGCCACAATGTTTTATCTGTTTTCTCTCTTTACCTCACAACTCTTTGTTCTGGCAGTTTTGGTATATGTATATGCTGTATCAAATAATATCTTGCATGGTATTCCTTTCTAGTAAAACTTGGTAATGCATTCTTTGAACATCTGAGTTTTGAAAAGGGATGATAGGAATAACAATAATGTGTCATAAAAAATTTTATGTTCCTTGCTCATATATATATTTACATGATTCTAGATTAAATACTGATGGTTCAACATCTATATAAGCACATTCTGAAATGTATGCAAAATTACTTACACCAGTGACACGATGTCCCCGCGTTGTACATCATAATTTCGAATGCTCCAGTGGTTTAAGAGCACTACATCAGATGCTTGTCTTCCCCCAGGATTCAAAGAAGGCTGAGAGAGGGGGAGAAAAAAACCCCAAACATCTTTAGATCTACATTTCCTTTATGAATTTTCCACCTAACTCTCATTCCACCAACAGATGAAATCCATTAAAATCAGTAAAAACATACCCACTTACTGTAAGAGACCAAGAATCTGTTGTATTATGGGAAATATATTTCTTTACTAAATGACATTAACTATAATTAATTTCTGACAAACTGTATTTCACATCATTTAGTGCACCACTGCATGTAAATCAAGTCACACAGGTTAAATACTTATGGGAAGCCTGATGAAAAGAAGGTATTGCCTTTAATGCTTATCATTTAATATTAAAATCAAAGGAGAGCCAGGAACACTAATTCCCAGAAAGAAAAAAAAGCAACAATGTTTTTGCTGACATCTCACTGCTTATTCAAGCATAATGCACTAAAAATTAAACATGTACTTGTAACAATACTAATTCCAGCATCCTTTGCAAAGGGAGAAAACAAACCCTCCACCTACAGCATGCACTGGCATTGGCAGTAAATGGGGGCCTTCCATAACAGGATACATAGGAGCTTGAACTCTCACAGAACCACACATAGAAACAAGACTTGTCACTAAAATTAGCATTAAAATAACCAAGTAATTAATGAGTGCAGAGTATTAGGAGGTATATAGAACCATACCTAATTATTCTGTGGGATGTGATATAAAACCAGGGTAGCTGGTCAATGCTGGTTCCAAGTTAACCCATAGGAAATGTCAGAGGAAGGAAGTAGCCCATCACAGTACTGTCTTCATTAAGTTTTGCACAGCTCATTTCAATAAAAATACTCCCTTTTGCTAGATAGAAACTATTTAAGAGTATTCCAGGCTAAAGTCGTCTGATAGCTAATTTCTCAGTAAGCTTTTTCAGTCAGTCTCTTCAAATACAATTACAGTATCTCCAAGTTGGACAGTAGATGACCTCAAATTTAGATTCTAGAGTTAGGTGACATATGAAATAAAACAGAGTATTGAGATTAGGCAGCTCCTCATTTGTCAGTATGAGAGCTGCAATATTAGCTATTTTTGTCAGTAGTTATTTTTGTGTTTTTTGTTTGCTTGTTTGTTTTGTAGAAGAGGATTTTGGTGCTTACCTTACAATCTAAATCTAACTTGGACCTCCCCCCGAACCACTAGATTTTCACTGCTGATATGCTCCTCCCCAGATTGATAGCATCTTTGATGAGCAAACCAGTTGGGAGACTGAAATGAACTGTTCTAAACACAAGTAATTACATAATACTAAATTTCATTGTACATCCTCAGCAGGTGTAATTCAAATGAACAGTAATATGATAGGTCAAAAGAATGAATGTGTCAGGGGAGGGGGAGGAATATGACACAATATGTTTATTTCAATAGCAAACAAGGCTAGTTACATTTTGAGCTGTGGACTATGGGCAAGTTTCTAGTCAAGAAAGTCTGCAGATCAGTGCAGATCACCTTAACATCCATAGAGATATGGTTCAAGTCTTAGCTATAAACATATTAACATTGATCACTATTTTATCTACCAGACTCTAAGCACTGCAAGAATCAGATTAATGAAAATCAGATTAATGAAAATCAGAAGCTAAGTAGCAGATATTTGATTACTAGTTTTTAATCAGGATTTCCAGAATTATTTACCACCTTCATAGTATTTTCCACCAAAGGATCATTTATTCACATACAAATTCATTAACAATTCACAGTCACACTCATTTTGCTAAATAGAGGCAGATATGGGCCAGAAGCTAAAAACAGTACTAAGGAAAAGGCAGAGACTAATCTTACAAAGCAGGAATCATATCACACATACAGGATATTCTCACAAAGTAAGCTCCTTAGTATTCAAAAGCATCTCTCTTAAATGGCTAAAGGGATGAAATAAACTGAAATTTTAAAACCATTGCTCCAAAAGATGATGTATTTCACAGCTGATCCTTAGAAAAGATCTACATGACTGTTCACAGACTTTTGTTCTCAAATAAATCTATATGAACTACATCTTACAGAGAAATACACCAGGTAGGTACAGTATTGCTCTAGTTGAGTTGTTGCAGCTGACTCCTACTGTTTTCTGTATTTAAACAAAGGAAATGCTTGAAATAAATTGAAATAAATTTAGATATTACATAATCTTTGTAACTTAAAGCACTACAAATGCATTTTTAACAATAGCTAACATGGTTTTGACATACAGAGTGGATATCCAACTCATTATACATAAGAATTATATTTAAGAAAAATATGACAGTGTTGAGTTTTTCTTTCTGACAAAACAACCTGACAAATGCACAGACAAAGATACAATTATGTTAGAAGAAATTTAAGGAAAACTAGGAAACTTTCATTTTACATCAACAATTAATTTTATCTATTACAAAAAAAGAAAATCTAAATCCTTCAGCAAGCCTTTTGCTATTGTAAATTCCAAAAATTGGATTCTACATCAAAAAGTATAGAAATAACACAACTTATTCCCCATGATATTTTTACTAGTAGTCAGGTTTCAGGTCTATCAAAACCAAAATACAGCTTCTGTAAGAGAGATAACAAATAGGTTCCTGAGGGTTCTTTTTAGGAAACAAAATAATACAGGGGCCTCTTCCTTCTCTAGTTTGAAGCGTTATGACTTCTTTGCTCAAATTTTTGGCATAACAGCCTCCTACAAATGAGACACACAGGTCTTAATTTAAACTGCGGTGCAGAAGCCACAAAACATTCACTCTTTCTAATCATTAACTAATCTAATGCTAAAAGCATGCAAATTGAGATCCCCAGCCATGTGATGAAGCCTCATAGGACATGAAGTTTTACAAGTAGGAGGATAAAAACATGCCCTTTTACTATACATAATGATTAACTTGGTGGTTTTTATGTTACTAATGATGGGTATGACTTATTTTCTTGAAGCTTGGGGAACACAAAGAATATTCATATAAGCTTACAGGCTTAGGTACAGTAATCCTAATAATAAAGTTAAGAGAAACTGACACAGAATAATGACAACTGCTATTATGCATAACAGAATAGAACATTCAATAATGTTTGCTGTGGAAACAAGTGTGCTTTGTCAGAGATCACTGCTCAGGCCACTCTCTATAATCCTTGGTATTGAACTGTTTGTAACAGAGCTTCCACATAAAGCTGCACATACGCTGTTATCTTCCATCTCTGTTTCACTTGAAAACAGTCCATTTGATTTAAGGAATTTACAAATTTATATATCCATAGAGAGTTCCTTTTCCACATCATTATGTATGAAGAGTTCATAATACCAGACAAGCAATGAAACTCAATAAAAAAATAACATAAATCAATATCACGATGACCACATAATAACAAACATTTTATAGTATACAGCCAGCACTACAAGAGGAGTCACACAAAAAAATCTACAACAAGCAATTAAGAAATCTTATTACCAGTTATTTTTGTCACTTACATTCAGTGTTCTAAAAAGATTACAACTCACTTGAAACTCACTATTAACAGAATGCTAGATGAGAACATCTATCTGTAAAATCCTAAGCAACAAACCCACCTCATGCGAGGATTAAAAAAAAATCAGTAATTTCAGAAATAGAAAAAGAAATTACACAATTAAAAAATGTTAAAATTATAAACTGCAATAGTTCACTGTTATTCCCTACAGGCTAGGGTTAATACACATATACACTGAAGTCAGCAGAAGTGAAATAATTATGACTGAAATGAATCATGACTGAATTATGGCTGAAAGCACTGTAGAAACACAGAATCAGCTTGAGACAATGAAATGCATGAAGTCTGTCTTAATTGATTGGGAATAAATTAGAAAATTTGTATTTTCATTAGAAGCTTTATTCAGCATGCTTGTTAGGGTGTCAGAGTATTATCATCGTCAGTAACTATGAGGCAGCAGTAAGGCTGGTTCAAAACAAAATGAAAGTAAGGGAGGAGACAGCACAACAAGGAACAAGAGATTCATTTCTTGCCTCTTGAGAAAACTTTTAATTTTAGGCTCAACAGGAATCACAGTGGTGAGTACACAAAGCCAGCTAAACATTTTAGAGGTCTATTACAAACAAATCTTGGAAATCTTACTATGGTATCTTCAAATTGAGACACTAAGGTATCACTGGAAGCATGTGATTGAAGGATATATGACTACAAACTGAACTTCACCTGCCCTCATACCCATAGCTTTCACATACATTCAGTATAGATCATTTTCCAAAGAATACAGTAGACAGGCAGAATTGCAACATGATGACCAGTACTGCCTTAAGCTACTGTAAGAGAGGGATATATTCCTTATAATTATGTCCCTGTCAGACTTGCTTAAATGTCTAATAAATCTTAGCAAAGAAATTAATATCCTATTAAAAGCACTAGGATTTTTTTTTTTTTTGGTAATCTGGAAAACGTCCATATGCATGTAAGTTCCTTTTAAACTTCTATTTCAGTGCTACAGTCCAGAATAAAACCAGAGAATTTTACAGACACTGAAATGTCAGTAAAATTACAAATGTCAGCTTTCAAGCTAGCCAAACATCAGTCAACAGAGGTAATGTTTAGTCAACAGACACAGCAAGGAGGAGCTTCAATTTTAATCACCCAGTGAATAGATATTGCTTTCCCTAGCCACTGCAGAGAGCATATCCTTCTTTGTCAGATTGAATAAATCTGAGCAAATAACTGTAGGGTTTTTTAAATCTTCCATGGAAAACCATAGTTAACGATATGCTCTTCAAGTGACTAGAGCAGCAACACTCCAGAATAATACCAAACAAAACAAAATAGCTGCCAAACACCTGGGTCTGTGACTCAAGAAAACGTAGAACTGAGGTATTGACTAGAAGGGCTCAATAGCTTGTGGAGAGGGAAAATCTAAAGAATTTCTTTGCAGCTACTGAGGTAAAACGATCAAGCAAGAACAGATGTCAAACAGACCACTAGGTCAGAGACAGAAAAGAGCAAACAATGAAAGGCAATGTGGCATGCTAAAAAGATTACACCTCGAAATTTAAATATCAGGTCATCCTCACCAGTAGCAAAAAACAACAAAACCCAAACAAACAAAAATATAAAACCAAAATCAGAAAATCCAATATCCATCTGCATCTTGAATGTTCCATGTGGCTCTAGATTGCCACAGGCTCTTTATAGCATTAAACACAAATCAACCAAGTCCAGGATCTAGCCCAAGTTTTGTCTGTGTAAATGCTGCACAATTCAAACTCCAGCAGCTAGTCTTGATTGCTATGAAACCTCTCTTCAAGGTTCTGAATTTACCCAGAAGCTTACATCAGAAAAGACGGTTTGACATTTAAGATTTGAATTCATAGTCTCTGCTATTTGCAATGTCACACGATTGGAACAAAATATATGATGGTTATCAGTGGTGATGCACAGTAATGTGCACTGCTTATGACTTAAAATGCAAAGTAACAATACAAAAATTGACTACATTAAAACATATCTTTTTCAACTCCCCAAACCAGAGGAAAAGTAGCTGTTCAGTATCATGAGTATTTGTTGCCTAAATGTTACACAGCCTATTTATAATTATTTGCTTACACTGCATAAACATTCAGTATAACCAAAGTAAAAACATTGAACTGATACCTATGTCCTGATAAGCATGTATTAATATATAAATATTATATATTATTCATGCCATTTTCAACAATTCAGCTGCTAGAAGTTAATAAAGCCTCTTTGTGAATCATCAGTTCAATTCCAAGAGACAAAAGGTAATGCTTCAAATATTTGTAAATGTCTAGGAAGGTAACAAAACAATATATCTTTATCTACTTCTCCATATATTTTCCTTTCACTGAGTTAGAATTTTGGGAAGTTTAGTTCTCAAAAGGTTGTCTTTCACATCAGAAAAGTATTTGTTTAACAAATTAGAAATTAAATTATTTCATACTACAAAGCTGTCATTTAATAACAATTGAGAAAAAGATTTTTTTCCACCTTGCTATTGTCAGTGAAGAGTCACTTTTAACTTCCTGAGAGACATATTCCCAGAAATACCTGCATTGATGCTCCTTCCACTCTTGCGACGCAGGCAACTCTATCCAGGAAAGTCACAGTTACAGGAACGGCAACAAAGAAACCTTTTAAAAAGGCTTTAATGTATTTCTTCCCCAAACCCTGGGCCTGTGCCATAATCTGAAAAACATGAAGGGGAAAAAGAAAATCCAAAAAATAAACAAATTTGAGGTAACGTCAACACGTAGCAATTCAACAAGGACTATTAAGAATAAACTTATCTGTTAGAGTCTCACAATACCTAGAGTGAAAAAAAAAAAAAAAAGTGCACATGAGAAAGGAAAAAACCCCAAACAACTATAAATCTTCCTCAAAATTTAAATGTCTATTATATGGAACATCTTAAAATTTGACATTTACCCTTTAGCTAATTTGAACATTTCTTGTGATCCTGTGCTAAATAATAACCAGACAAAATCTAATGATGCGTTTTGGAAAAAAAATTATAAATAATTTTCTCTCCATACACTCGTAATTATTAATTTCTGACCACCAAAGATGGATTATGTTAAAGAAAGAAAGGCTATTTGCAACATATTAGCTTTTCTTTATTAAATACTTCCACACATGAAGTATTACAAATGCATCATTTCCACACTTGTGGTAACTGCAAACATGTAAAATCAATTCAAATTGTCATATATATCAAAGGGACACACATGACCGCAATGAATCCTTGTTCACGACTATATCAGAAAGTTAAAAGCATACTGACAGACTGGGCAGTTAAGTAATGACACATGGGATTATTCCACTTCAAGTCACCATGTATTATGCTATCTCCTATCTATTTATTTAACCCTGAACCACTGAACATGGTTGCAAAATAACTTCAAAGTACAGTGAAACACAAGTTGTTTGATTGTATTAGTTATAGTTCTGAAAAGCAAGCTGAATATCCAGGTACTGCTGCCAAGGTACAAGACTATCTTACATAACTGCAGTTTTATTATAAGAAATGCTGCCTTTCACCTGTTGGCAATTCCCTTTTAAATTGCTGCTTCCACCTAATGAAGCCTTTCTTATAACAAAATATTTTTAACACAAAGATAAGTTACTACTGATGGCAAAAAGGCAAAAAAAGAATTAACAATGGCTCAGTTGGTATACCTTGCCCGGGGGAAGGTAATTGCCTAATGTTTTGTGTACCTGTTTTGCTAGAAGAATGTTTTTAGGAGCACTGGTTCTGTTCTGATCATGTTCTGTCCTGCTCACTGGACCAAAGTCCTTATTATAGAAAAAATGCTAAGGAGTAGTATACAATAGATCACTGGGTAATAAATCAGGTAAAGTAGATGTTTGAATAAGATATAGAAGGCCCAGAGCCAGGATTTTGAAAGCTTGAAGAATCTTGAAGAATCCAGGTCATCTAACAAAGAAAGTTGAAAAATTTAACCCAAGGAAGATGTTTGTGACGACCCCCAGAGGGATGAAGGCTCAAGTGGCAACCACCCTAGCGAAGAACTGCTCGTATGCCAAGGAAAATTCTGGAAAGTCTACACCCAGAGACCAGCCTACTTATTAATATGTATGTTAGAAGGTGTAGCCGTGTGTCTAAAGTGTATCAAATGGCTTGGTTTTGCACATTTGAGCCAAGCAAGTTTGTCCAGCGCAAGCTGGTTTGCTCCCAAAGTTGAATAAACAAATACCTTGCTGCTTAAAGATGCAAAGTCTCTCAGCAGTTCTTTTATCCTGAGGTTTTTCAGCATCACTACATGCCAGTATCTCATTGAACACTGCACACATTTTTGCCAGGCCTGTTTCGTAAGTTTTCCCCTCCAAAAAGCACACAAGAGCATTTACCACTGGATGTGTGGTAATGTGTGGATGTGTGCACATGCAAAGTTGCCATGTCACTGACAGAACAGTTCACCATCCAGCTGCCAGTAAATGGAAGGTTATCCATCACTCTTTCAGTATGAGGGGCTTCAAGTTGTCTTGCACTGCCACAGGGAAAGAGTTGGAACTTAAGCAGCAGAAAGGCAGTTTGCAGCATTATCTTTTACTGGTAACTCTACACATGAATGGATAATCTTCAACTGATAAACACTGTTTGATTAAAATCTGCAGTATTCGTTTCTTACACTTTGGTGGTTGTAGGAGAAAAGAAGGGGAAAAAAGTAATTATAAGCGTTTACTGCAGTAACAAGAAAGAATTTAGGATGGTGAAGGGCAGACACAACAAAGATCTTTAAAATTAAAAGAAAAAAATCTGTTTGGAGTATTTGTTTATATATAAATAAAACATTAGATAGCTACTACTCCTGGAAATAATATTCTGCTCATAGAGATTTCTAAAACATCTGCAGATTCTAGGAGCATAATGTTTCCAGAGTGAAATTCCGAAATACAGTGCAGTATCTGGTTAATGTTGACAGCAGATTTAAATGCATGTCAGTGAAGCAAGCAAAGTATTGTTTGCTGAAAAAATTAAACTCCCCAACATATATGTCTGGATCTCTGCCCAGCCAGTGACACCTTGAATAAGATCAACAATTACAGCACTATAAAAATGGGGGGAAAAAACCCCAAACAAACAAAAACCCAACAAAAATACACAAAACCACAAACAAACAAACAAAAAACACACACACAAAAAACCAAAAAGCCACACACACACAAAAAAAACCCCACCAACCAAAAAAAAAATCAAAAAAAGCAGGAAAAAAATAAAGATTCATACACTTTTTAATATTTGTAAGTTACACTTGGTTTAGGGGAAAAAAGGCAATAAAACAGAAAAATTCAGTAGAACCGAGAAACTTCAACAACCTCGAAAAGTTGTTTACAATGGCAACATGGACAAGAAAAATCCAATTTCAAAAATGCTAGCAAATAGCAGGTCAAAGCATTAAGAATTTCATATTGTACAGCTCAGAGATTAAGGCAGATGGAGCACAGCATTATCTGGACTGAAGTATTTGGTGCACAAAAGGTCTAGGTATTATAATGAGCCTCTCATGGGTACTACAACATATGGAGAAGAGACGCTATTTAGATAGCTCTCTATGTATAAAATGTTTATTTTTTCTTACACTTGCCTGCACATTAGAAGGCACTGTTTATCAAACAGCCTGCAGAGAATCACCAAGTAATTCAGAAAGCCCCAGGTTACAATATATTTGCAAACTCAGGTACTTAAAAATTACCCGCAGAAGTATGATAGGAAAAATAGTTGTAAAAACAAGGCATTAGCAGTCATCCACAAAGGAAAAAGAATGGTCCCTGATGTGCTTCTACAAAAAGGTAAGTGAGGGAACAGGAAGAAGGGAATTACAACCTATATGCAAAACAACTACCCTGCCAAGACTGTTACTTTATTTTGAAATGACCTATTTGATCTTGTTCAAGAATCAGTAACTACTCTATATATAATTCTATAATCCATTGCAATAAAAAATTTTCAATCACAATATGAATTTTTCTATAAATCAATGGCATCACATTAGAATCAGAATTGCAGATTGAAATCAAAGACTTTCATAATAGAAAATACCACAACACATGAATGAGCCCAATTTTATTGCATCCTATGAAACATAAAGCTGAGAACAAAAGCTTTTAGTTTAAGACTGGTCTACCTGGAAGACAAGGTTATACCTGGTCTAACAACCATGATGAACAGATGTTGCTCAGTATCAGAATTTGAGTGATCTTTTCAACATGTGCCCTTTTTACAACCTTTCATGATACAAGGCCTGAGCCAACTACTGCCATGCAGCCTGACTCATTTCCCACTTTAGCTGTACATTTCAATAACTTCTACATTACAGGGATTACTGTAAGGGTACAAGTATGCAGCCCTTTTAGTAGGCTGACTTAAATCACACGAATTTATCCAAGTACAGGCTGATGCACAGATATGATGGTGATGAATGCCACAGAAGAATCGAAATAGACAAGCCAGTATAAGTCTTCAGTTAAAATAATCAATATAGATCAGAGCATTTAAGTTTTCATTTAAAAATACTATCTAGTTCCAGAAGGATCTCTCATTTATCCTTCAATAAAGACAGCTCCATCCTGGTGTTATTCCACCATAATGGTAACATGTCTATTCCATTAATGTATTTATACTCTGTACTCAGGTTTTGCTCACCCTATTCCTGCATCATATTACCCTCTCTGTAACCCTCGGAACACAGACATTAAAGAATAGCACTCTGTTGTGAGTTTGGAAATGTCACAGGTCATGGAAATGACTGCGGTGTCATTGAAGCAACAAATCCTAACCTAATCAGCAGTTTCAGCAACTACACGTGTATACTCTGCCGTTCTTTCTTCTAAGTTAGGCATTTTGTCCTGATGCCTAGATGTTTTGCTTGTTCCAAATACCAAGCAGCAGATTTTGTTAGCTTCAACTCCATTTTGTACCACTTTTTTATGCCTTCATTTGAAATAAAGCAATTACAACTTCAATGTAATAGCTCCCATCACTATGAAATATGCAGAATTTTTTTTCCAATATACCACAATAAAGAAAAACAACAATAAAAATCCACTTTTGTAATCATTTCAAAGCTATAACATACAGAGAAATTCTCAGAAGCAGAAAAAACAGATCAACATAACGAGCTTTCAGGTCACAAACCAAATAAAAAAGCTTAAACCACAACACTTAGCAATGTAATCTGTCACAGAATTATTACTGGAGGAAAAAAAAATTAATATGGAACAGATTCTTCTTTTAATTTAATATTATTATATTCCATCATTGGGATCTATCTCATGCACAAAGGTTTACCTACCACATTGGTTGTAACTGGAAAGAAATTCGAATTACTGGTCTTAAAAGTTAATTTTGTGCCTCAAGTACACAAATTTTACCCTCTTGGACAATCTTGTATTTCCAAACAAAATATGTGAATCTTCACACATAAAGAAAAACTGGAATAAAATATAATTGTAAATCAAAGTTATGCTCAGCAATCAAATTAACAAACAGTTCAGGATGGAGAGTAATCAGCTGCCCCTCAGTTCTGACAAGTTATCCATGATTCCATTTTATACATACAAACATCGAGAAAAAGAATTGCAATACAAAAAGAAAAGTCAGTAATTGTTACAAATCAGATCTTTTCAGAGCATTTAAACTTTAGATGTAATGTGGTATATTCCAAGTACCATCATGCAGGTGACAGAGTATCAGTCCTTCTAACATAAAAGTTACAATATTTGTTTTTATTCATGTTTCTTCATCTTCAGATAAACTAATAATCATCAATATATATTGCAAATAAAGGAAAGTACTAAATTATTTTAATTCTGGAAATCACTTAGCAGGTATTTAGCTTTTTACAGCTGAAAGTTCTATGTTGCTTTGAGCCTAAAGATTCAATCCATGAGAAGGAAGTTAATTTATAAATTGATTTTAAGTGTTCTTTATGAACATCTACTAGTTGCTGTTATGTTTTGGTCTTGAGTAGACTGCATAAAAGAGCAGTTGCTTCAAAACTCACTGAATTTGTAAATTATATTAACCATAAACAATGGCATAACCTTTGAATTTAAATGAATTTGCACATTTATCTAGTCAATTCTTTGGATTCTTTCCAGTACCACGAAACTGTCCTGTTAGTTACAATTATCCAGAACCCAATTTAGGCAAAAACAACAACAACAAAAGGAATATTCCATTTTAACCACAATATATAACATTAAGTATTCATACAACATTCAATAAACAGCCTAAGAATAACAGCATTCAATTCTGAACATGAATATTGTCAGAAACAAATTCCTCTAAAAGCTTCTGCATTTGGGTTAAGACTAAGTACATTTAGTAGGGAACAGGGAAGTTTCTTCAAGCCTAAAGGAAAATCAAATGAATACAAGAACAAATGAATGCAAGAAACAAGATTCTCAGCTACGAATCTCTAAAGCATACAAGTATGCACTGAGTATATGATAGAATAATAACTGACAATAATATTTATTATGTCATGAACAAATAATTGCAAAAGAAAAAACAGAAAATGTATTTAACATTTGAAAGGTATTTTCCATTTTCAGCACACTTTACAAAAATAACTAGTTTTCCCACAACTACTGCCAAGGCAGCTTTGTGCATGCTTGCTCAAAGCAGGAAAATTAGAACTGGCTCCTCAACAGACCATTCCCATGAAATCACCCAGCAGTAAGGTCTGATGAACCAACTACTTACTACCTACTGTCTGTTACATATCAATACACTAATGTACAAACTAATACAGAAAATTGTGCCTTTGAAAAATAACTTTATTTTAACAAGTCAGGTTGTCCTGGAACATGAGAGGCCACTGTGGGACTTGTTAAGAGCATACCTAGTGTATTCTGTAACAATCATTCCCCACTATATCGATTTTGAGTCTGGGATTTGTGGCACTTTCAACTGCTTTATAAATTTCTCAAGTCTCAAGAATAAACAAAACAACTAAACAGCAAACATAAGGATACAGATTTCCAGAAATAGCTGAAATCTGTGGCACGCTGGTCAACTTATAAAGTTCTCAATATAAAATTCCAATTGTAACTGTGAAATAAATTGAATCTTAAAATTATTGCTCAACATGATTAAAACTGTTATTTTCGTGGATCTGGATACCACCCACTACTATACCATGTGTATAGTTATTTATCACCAATTCCAGGAGAAAATTATTTCAGCAACAACATACAAGATAAACAGGAGAATCTGTAATTTTGAAAGGAAATTAAATGGAAGACTCCTAGAAATCTCCCAAACAGAGATTTTAACATTAGTTAAAAATGTTATATTTTTTCACAAAATGCACTTGGATTCAGTTACAAAGCTGCATAATGGAAAAATCAAACCTAGTTCTGAAGTCTTCTAGAGAAATTATTTCATTTAACCTGAAAACCCCCAAGAGGTTTTGTCTTCTAAGTATATTCTGTTGACAATTTCTATTTTCTTCCTAGTTGAACAATGAACAAGTACATGTGACATATGCTTTTGGGGGAGAAAAAGAAAACAAAAATGTGCTGGTACAAGAAAGTTATTTAGAGGGATGTAAAGCAGCTTCTCCAGATCACCTTTGCCTTTTTTTTGGTATCTCAGTGTGCTCAATTAATTCCAGTTCCCCAGAACAGCAATGATATGAAGAAAAAAAAAAGAAAATAAAAACCAACAAGAACAAAAAAAACCCTGCACTGGAATAGTGGCTAATTTAAAGATTTTTACAAGGTTAGAGTCTACTTGTTCAGCTGCACTTTTTCTATCTAAACTTTTCACCAACTTCCAAAAAAAAAATTAATTTTCCTTCAAACTGGTATGAACGCCAGGACATATCTAGGCCCTGGCTGAATCTCTTCAGTTTCAAGCATTGAAGAGAAGCATTTAACTAAGAACACGTTGAAAGACAATAAACAGGTGTGGAAAAGCAGTCACTTTAAGACAAGTTGTATCATTATAAACCAAAAAAGTATTTCTCTCTCAGATGTTCATGATGTAGGGTAACAGGAAAGCCACTCCATCCAAATACTAGGTAAGTGCCATTAACTGTGTTCATTATAGGGCAAATACGAGATCTGACATTTCATAAAGCAGGAAAGTATGTTAAGTAAGAATTGCATCCAGTCCAGGAGAAAGAACAGCGCACAACACAAGTCCCAGGTGCAGGACATGATGCCAGCGAACCGGCGCACAACCCCAGAGTCTCTTCCCAGCCTGTTCCCCCGCACATGCTACACTTCCACCGGCACCGGGGCACGACCGTCTCCCACACCGCCTCTGACAGGCGGAGGATGCGGAGAACAGCGGTGCTTCTCACTGCTGGCTCTGCAAGTTCTGTTTAATCCAGTCCCTTCGCCCTGGGCACTGTATCTCGGTAATTTGAAAGAGGAAGAAGTGGACATGCTGCCGGGAGACAGCCGCAGCCGGGAAGCAGCCGCGCCCGGGGGCCTCCAGCAGCGCTTCCGCCGCCGCGCGGGGACCCGCCCTGGGGCGGCTCGGGCGGGCGGGGCCGGGGCGGGGCGGGGCGGGCCGGGGGCGGCACCGAGCGCACAGCACGGCTGGCGGCCGGGCTCGCAGCGGGGAGCATGGCGCTGTCCTCCACAACACCCCGAGCCCCGTCCGCCCCCGCCTGGCCCCGCTCCCCTCTCCAGCACCCGGCTCTCCCGCCGACCCCCGCCGCCCCCCCCGCCGCGGCCCTGCGGCGCTCTGAGCCCGCCCGGCTCCCATCGCCCCGCCCGCCCCGGGCCCCGGTGCCCGCTTACCCTTTAGTCCTTCCGCGGGGGGCGGGCCGCAGCCGCGCGGTCACGTGGGGGGCCGGCGCGAGGCCCGCCGTGCTCCCGAGCGGCCGCCCCGGCCGGCCCTGAGGGCGGTGGGGTTGCCTTGTCGTGGGGCCCGACCGGCTCACCTGGTGCCGGCACGGAGCAGGCCCCGCTCTAAAATAATGTGCTTGGTCTGGTCGTCTTTCAGCGCCCCCATTAACAGTTTGAGTCGCTAAGCGAGTGAGGCCGTTGGGTTGCGGTTTCGTTCAGCGAGGAAGGAAATCCGACTGCGAAAGGACTCAGCTGTTCAATTTTTTGGCACTTGAACCATGCTGACCTGTTTGGATATTCATATATAATATTGCGAGTTCTTATATTTCAGTACAAACCAGCTCTGTTGGGTTGCATATCCACGCAAAAAGGCAGGATTTTTTTCAGCTGATGGGTTTCCTAGTACATACCAGATTTCATTGGAACTGATGTCAGCCGGGTCTGCTGTGCACTGGAGCTGGCTGCATTGTGCTTCCAGTCCTGTCTCCATTGATGGGGGTTTGAAATCGTTTATAATCCCAACCAGCCCCCAAACACCATGCAACTGCTTGCTCACTGCCCTACCAACAGGATTAGGGAGAGACTCAGAATGGTAAAAGCCAGAAAACTCATAGGTTGAGATAAAATTTAATATGAAAAGCAAAACTATGCACACAAGCAAAGCAAAACAAGGTATTAATTCACTGCTTCCCATGAGCTGGCAGGTGTTCAGCTATCTCCAAGATGACACATAATGATGACTTAGGAAGAGTCATCGCTCCAAATGTGTCTTCTCCATGCCTTCCTCCTTCTTTCCCCAACTTTCTGTACTGTGTCATGAGATCATTTGGTACGGAATATCCCTTTGGTCATTTTGGGTCACCTGTCCTGACCTGTCACCTGTCTTTTCCTAAACTTCCATGCACCCCCAACTTTCTAGCCAGTGTGGCAGTATGCAAAGCAGAAAAGGTCTTGGCTCTGTGTAAGCACTGCTCAGCAATAACAAAAATATCTCTATATTACCAACCGTGTATTCAGCACAAATCCAAAACACCCTCATACTAGTCACTGAGAAGAAAATTAACTCTACCCCAGCCAAAACCAGCTCAGGGTTGTTTTTTCCTGTCTAGTGCAAATGGATACACTAGGGTTTGTGTTTTCAGTCAGTGTTTTGTTGTTTTCATCAGTTGTCATAACAAATGCAAATGCAGTAAAGTCTGAAGCAGGAGGTTTTTCCAGATAGTTCATGTACCTTCAAAAGTCAATGAGAAAATTCACGATAGAGAAATACATTAAAGATTATCAAACACATAGAAACTACCTCTTTCTCAGAAGTCCCTAACTAGATGCTGGGAGATACTTCTACTAGTCAGGCCACTATCAGAACACAATATGAAATAACATCTCTGCTTGACTCTCTGCAGTTATTTGCAATTTATTATTAGAATGTTATTTTAAGCTGAAATATAAAATTGTTTATTATTGAAATTATCTTGACTTTGAAGCTCAGCTATGAACGTATGAATGCGTAGTTGGCTGTAGTCTGACCACATCATTAAGGGTTGGACTTGATGATCTCGGAGATCTTTTCCAACCCAGTTGATTTTATGATTCTATGATTTTACAGGGATAAAATATTTCCACACTTCTTCACATAGGAAGCAACTATCTTAGAAAGAAATATGATAGAATACTTACTAATGAACTGAATTGAAAGACACACTCTAAGACCATTTTTAGTAAAAGGTTCTTGAATTATGTATACATAATCTATAATAAAATTTCTTGTTACACACTATTCCAAACACAACATGCCCAGCCTCTTGTGAAATCTGAATGTTTCAGCAATGCTTACTGCTTTTAATGATTAAAACAATTTCACAAAAAATAGAATTAGTTTCAGTGTGATTTTGCGTTCTGAAATATGTGATATGATGTATATTATATGATGCCAACATATTTGCTACCCAGGGTAAACCAGTGATTGTTACCCTAGGTAGTTTTTTGTTTTCTCTTGACACATTTTTAAATAAGCATTACCTTTACAATCAAATAATTCTTGATAACTTTGTTGTTGATTAACCTTTATGTAATGCATTCTTTACCACATTTGAATTGTGTGCTCACTTTCAGATTCTACAGTGAGCTTTTCAGTGCATTGCACAGGAATAAATAGAGTACTGTGCCACTGGTATCTACCATCATAATTGTCATGTAAAAATTTTAACTGGGAAACCTTTACAAATTGTTCAAAAATACTGCTGCAAAACACAATATTGTACTTTGAATTGCAACATTAGAGAAGCAACTTATGGGAATGTGCATTGATATTTCCATGCACTCGAAGCTCACAGTGTGAAAACTCCCACTAAACTCCTTTGCTATAAAACTCTCATGATCAAATCATGGCACATCAGTTCTCCTCATTTTGAAATTAGGTGTGTGCTAAACAACTAACAGGAAATTCCCATTCTTACTCTTCATTTATTTGTGGATACAGTGAAATTTATCAAAGCTGGTACTAGTTACCAGCTGCAAATGATGCACCATTTTTTTTCTCTCTTTTTTTTTTTTTTTTTTTTTTTTTTTTTTTTTTTTTTTTTTTTTTTTTTTTTAAATTAATATTTGAACTGCATCGGTACCTAGAAGTAGAGAACTGGTGTTTTTTGCTTTCAGTAATAACAAATAGGTACTGAAAATGTTTTGCTGCCTCCATACCTTGATGCATCTGTGACTAAAATAAAGAAAAAAGCTGCCCTTTTCACCCACCTCTTCAATTACTTTTCAGTTCAGAGTACCATTAAAGCTTTCTCGACAATCCATAAAACTTTTCACTACAGTATCCATTTAAAAGACTCTTAACAGACTGCAGCAAGCTTTATGCTAAAAACACATTATTTCAGTTTTCTCCAGCTTAATTTCACTTTGTATTTTAAGAGCATGGAAAATCTGTAAGAGATACCTAAGACCTGCTTTGAGTTAAAATCAAGTACCACATGTTTGGGAATACAACATAGAGTATTTAAGGCACGTTTATCTACCTCCATGTAGTAAAGAAATGAATGTTTGAGTGATGCTGAGTGTACTATTCTGAGGAGGGGTGCTTTGGAGGAAAATATTGAGCTGAATCCAACCACCTGACAGCACAGAAAAGGTGCAGTGAAAAAGGGGCACGGGATCAAAAAGCCTGATTGCTTAAATGGATATTGCAGATCAGTTCTTCATATTGTCCAGCTGTGGCTTGAAGAACTCATGGCCCAAGGGCAGCAATCAATGGTGTGGCATAAAAGAGGGCAATTAACCTTAAACCTGCTATTGTGCTGGAAAAAATATGATCACGGCATCTTCAGTGTTACTAAATTATTACACATCTCCATTTCATTACATGACTAGGGACCTAATTCCTGCTAGTTTCTGGACTCTGATAACGAATATAACGGTTTTTGATAAAGAATTGCACACTCATTTTTGTGGATTTTTTTTCAAAAGGGAGTGTATTTTCAGTGGGAGTTATCTATCCACATATATATAATGCAGCTATCTATATATGAACTCTGTCTAAATTTCCTTTACGTCAAGGAGGTGACACAGGACAGGACAGGATTAATCTCATTCACAGGTGTTTGTTTCAAAAAAAAGAAAAAAAAAAAAAGACAAATCACATTTTAAAAGAGCCTGTTTCTCCTCCCTTGCTACTGCATGCATCTTGATGACTCACTCAGGTGTACAGGATGCTTACCATGGGACAAGAAGCATACCACCCTGCCTATGCTAGAGTTCCCAGGGATGTGACTGAAGGCTGGTACCAAATTCTGTGAAATGCTGGTGGGAGTACCAACCGAAATTCCCTTACTGATGTTAATACCTGTACACATACCAGTGGTTCAGTGCGCATCACTTACACAAAGAAAATTGGTTTGGGTTGATTATGACTCTGTATGGAAATTACTATATAAAGATATCTGGACAAACATTTCTGTTCCTTTGTGTTGTCACTCTTTTGGCCACCATATACTATTTATGTTTTGCTTCATACATACTGAAACTCAGCCTGGTCAGAATAAAGTAGGTTTTGCTTGTAGTTGGTCAGGCAGGCAGCAGAGCATAAAACTCTGTAGTGACCTCTCCACTGGGAAAAAAGAGAAGAACTGATACACAAAACGATTCCTGAAGTCCTGTCATTGATCTGTTAAACTGTCATAATCTTTGAAGGGTAGAAATAACTAACTTATGGTAGTCAACTTAATTGTATTGGCTTTCCTTGAGGAACAGTTATTACCCTCAAATGCTTGCATGGAAAAGAAGGAAAAAAACATAATTTGAAGTCAAGAGTCTGTTGTCAAAGTAGGTAAATTCTTGACAACCTAATGAAAGATTTATCAGTTCAGATCTAATAATTACAGAAAAAGAAAACAGTTCTATTACATGGGGGAAAAAAGCTCTATAATAATACAGTTAAAATTCTTACAAAAACTTCTTGACATCGACCTCTGTTGCTGATGTTATACTCTCCTTTGGTTATTTCCACAGGTGTTAAGATGGTTTGGTTCAGTGTGGTGGAAGTTGTTTGTTCTCTTTGTTACCCCTGCAACTGGCTTTTCCCACCTTCCAGGTCAGTGTATTTTTAGCTGACCCATGGTGAGTTGTTTACAGCCCTGAAGTTTTCAGTGTCATCTTACAGTGTCATTTTACAGTGTCACTTCTGTTATTCCATGACTGTAATCCCCTGCATTGCATTACTATGGTAAGGGCATAAACATTTCATTTGAACAAGTTTATTACCACATATTATAGTTGCATCACACTATTATAAAAAATTACAAAAAAGAAAAACATAGAATCATTGAATATCTCTAGTTGAAAGGGACTCAAAAATCTTTGAGTCCAACTCCCTACTCCTCACAGGGCTATCTAAACTAAAGCATATGACTAAGATATGGACAACACTAAGAGTGTCATCCACATGCCTCTTGAACACTGACAGGCTGTGACCACTTCTCTGGAGAGCCTGTTCCAGTGACTGACAACC